CAGTCTCTTCTGTAAATGAGCCAAGAGTTTACCACAGTAACATCTAAAAAGTGAAAAAACAATTTGTGATAGAACTTTTTAGATCTAATATGAATTCTGTAAAGAGCAATTAATGCATCCATTAGGTCCACTCCACCCATAAATTGGTTATAGGTTTTGACAATAGCTGGACAGGTAATTGTAATATTCTGTTTAGTCTTTTTGTCATATCGCTCGCATGTTTCAGTAGGTTCTGCAGATTAAAATGTTGATAGCAAATTGACTACCCGATTATCAGCCCATTATACTGCTCTAACTTCAATATTATCTACTAGAGTCGAGACTTCTTGGAAGGATCCTTTACCTTTTTTTAGTAAATCTTTATCCTTGTTTAGAGGAACTCCCGATAAGCGATTTATCCTTACTGTTCCAAGGCAATAAATTTTCTTTTTTGCCAAATGCACCATCAGAGCTAGAGAGGTAAACCAATTATCGAAATATAGGAGATGATTTGCACCTACAGGAATATGAGTGGCTAATTGCAGTACCACATTGGAACTAGCTCCTAAATCTGGTTCTCCAGTTACTGGTTGGATTTTTTCAGAATATATAAAAAAATCATACATAATTCCTTTCTCATCACAAAGAGCAAATAATTTGTAGCCCCATTTGTGTGGCTTGCTGGGTATATATTGTTTAATGCTAGATCTGCCTTTGAATGGTACTATCTGTTCATCAATACATAATATTTGAGGCATTGGAATTTCTCTAAATTTCGCCTGTAAATGATTTATCAATGGCCTTATTTTGAATAGTTTGTCATATGTGGTATTATCTTCTGGTATTGTCGAATTATCGTTAAAATGGATTTTGGATTTTATTTCTTCCCACCGATCCCTGGTCATTACTTCCGATACAATTGGACAGTTTAACTTAGTTTTCCAATACAATCTTGAGTTGATAGTTTTACCATGGACATTGCCAATAAGGACCCTAAAAGTTGTTCCAATTCAGGAATTGACAATGACAGACTTTTATTGGGATTTTCTTGAATGGCATACAAGTTTGACTGCTCAACTATGTGAGTCAGAATATCTTCCGAAAAAAAATTTCTAAAATATTCCACAGGTCGCTTTACAACTCCAGACGGCTCTAGTTGACCTAACCATATAGGAAGTGGTTTAGCAGAATCTTCAGTTGACACATGTCGCCAAAGTGGATAGGTTTTACGACTCTTTGATTTTAATGTTTCTGGTGCAGCTACTGTTTCTCCACTGGCTTCACTTTCTTCAGTACTATCGTCAGATTCATCTATAATAAAAAAAGAGTATAAATGAGTCATTTCAAACTATAATACAAAGAGGCAAAGCAGTCAATACAAATGACTAGAAAATTATAAAAAGAACTAGAAAAATATTTACGCAAATCCTCGAAATTAATATCAGAACCATCTACAGTATCTGTACTACTCTCATCCATTAAGGGAAGACGTTTTTTCCCATAAAACGCTGCACAATCCATAATTATTTTGATCAATCTAAAAAAATCCAAAAGACGAGAGTGACGATTTCGTAACGCTTAAAATTTTCAATAAAAATACAGAAAAATAATTAATTTTAGCACATATTACCTTCGCCAAACGATAATCGTCCTTCTAGAAGTATGTAAAAAAAAATCCAACGTTCATATGCTGCTTGATTCCAATTTATAACAATAAACACTCCACAGTACACTATAACCTAACTTTTCATTAGTGCACTGTCAAACAGAAACATCTCACGTGAATGTGCCGCGCGAACGTAATCAAAACGGGTTTGCTATATTTTCACTGAAATGTAACGATACCGATCCCGTCGGCGTAGCCGTCCTACATGGGTTATTTTGTGCACAAGACCAGTGTTTATCAAACGTTACGAAAACGTCACGTTCAGCGTTATAGGGTTAAGATGTTAGTACTGCATCACCTGACACATCTTGTACCCTGAATTTTGCTGTCTCTTCAGGAATCTTTCGTTATCTGTTCTCCCTACATGACCAGCTCATCTAAATCTCTGATGTTTAACGAATTCACTACGCAATCAGATTCTTCCAGCAGTTCGAAACCTTGCGGTCAACTTAGATTATGACTGGTATCAACAGGATGGTTGCCAGCACATAATGCAATCGAAGTTACAAATTATTTGATTAGATCACCAGGTTTAGCACCTTTCAATTTTTATTTCTGGGGAATGCTAAAATCAAAATGATATCGGCATGAATTCGAACGAGCCAATAATTTAGTCGAATTTTAAGCAAAGACTGTTCAACTCTGTAGTCGGGTACAGCCCAATCAGCTGAATGCAATGAGACTTGCTTTAGTTGATAGATTCGGATTTTGTTTAGCGCCAAATGGTGGTTAGTCGAACACTTAATTGGTTGGAGATTTTTTTAAATGCCTTTAATTTTAATTCAATTATTTAGGATAATTTTTTTAGTTAGAAGAGCAGTTTTTATTAGCAGAATTAACAGAGTTTTTTTTATAGAAACTATTTAACGACGGCTGTGCGGTAACTCCAATAAAAATTCACGTAACTAACATATCGATGGTATTTCACAATTTTATCTTGCAATTTAATAATAATTGCAGATCTATATATGAGCATTATGTAAGCATCCATGACTTAAACGCGGAAATGTGCATAATATGGTTATTTAAACTCGATTAAAAATATTGTACCAAGTTATTTAAGTGCATTAGAAAATAGGCATACAAAAAATATTTAAAATTGGCGTGACCAAATCAGGTATATAATTAATATATACATACCTATATTACATTATACGTAATACTGAAACTACAAAAAAAAGTCTGTGAATTATAAGTATGATATAAAAGGAAGTTTTAGAAACTAAAATAAATTTAACTGAATAATAACCGTTACAGAAATAAAAATATTTGGATAAATAATTTAGTCTTCCTCATTTTGATTACCTATTTACAACGATACAGTCATTTGTGCATTGTAGTTGCTTAGGATGGTACCAAGATGAAAAAACCTTTATAACAACATCAGATACGTTGTCCATACCGTCCTAGTAGCAAGTAAAACAGAAAAAATATAATAAATTCTATAGTTTGTTATAGCGAAATGTTCGGTTTGATACTAAACGTTTCCAAAACTAAAATTATAGTATTGTCAAAGATAGAATTAATCTTCTGAAAATTCTCTCAAACCGTACGTGGGGAGCAGATACAACAACCCTATTAAACTTATACCAATCACTTATACGTAGCAAATTAGACTACGGCTCAATATGTTATGGTACTGCCAAAAAAACTAAATTCAATTCAAACAACGTCACTAAGGATTGTTCTGTGCGCATTTAGAACTAGCCCAACCAATATCCTTCAAGTATTAGCTAACGAACTACCTTTACACTTACGAAGGCAACAATTGTCACTAAATTATGCAACTTGTGTATCATCAAATCATCAGAATCCCATACATTCAAATATCTTAAAACCTAAATGTATCAGGTATTACAAAAATAAACCGATTAATACACTCCCTTTTTATGAAAGGACACGCTGATTAAGGCTCTTCTTTTTATGCTGATAAATTAAACAATTTTAAAGATATCAGCAGTCTGCCCAACCTACAATTATTATTTTTCTTTGCAGATCATCAGTTTTATTATCTCAAATTTTTCAAAGAGTAGGTCCTTAATTTTGAATTTATCTGGATTATTAGTCTATAATTACGTAAATGGTCTGCCTTGAAAATATCCCGAACGGGTACCATACTAACTGCATGCTTTAATGCAGTTTTAGAATTGAATAAATAAGAATTTTCTTCAAATGTTTTGTAAAATTATCCAAAGATACTCCTATATAATATAATGTATTCCTATTACGATCCATATATTGTTTCATTATTTATATTCTGTTTGTAAAACGATAACATTAACATACAATTAACAAAGTAATGTCACAAACATAAACACGTTTGAAATCATTATATATCACAACAGCAAGTAATTACTGAAAATAAAATCAATAAATATACTTCAATGACCTGATCGATTAAAAAAAATTGCTACAATTTTTTTCAAATATTACGATTATCTAATTATCCATCAGAGTATGTTACTTTTGTATACATACTACACTATGCGTCAAAATAAACTGTACAGAAAATAAACATTTATTTACTGAAGTAATATAGGTATCTCTTACAAGAACTTTCACATTTTATTTAATAATTATCTATAGATCATCGAGTTAGAATCTATGGAGAGGGTACCACGTGACTAAAAACGACCTCACTTCGGCCATGTTGTTAAGATTGTTTTGACACTTTTGACAGATCGTATATGTTTGTTTACATTTGTTGTTTTTTCGGATATTTTTAGTTTTATAATACTTTTATAGCAACTGTAATAATATTTATTGTGATAGTGCATAATAACGGTTTCTTGTTCTCAACGTAGTTGCAGTAGCAGAAGTAATGTTAATAAAAAATCTTCAGGATTTTCGTTCCCAGGTTAGTATACAAATATCATCGAGCAAAAAGACAAAAGAGGGAATCCAATCGTTATGAAAAGGAGACCAAAAATGTGGCCTCTGATGACGTACATATCCGGAAATGCGAATGCGCCAAATTTAAATTTTCCGACACTTATTAACAGTAGCTATATAATAGTTTTCAGAATGCATCTTGAACGAGAAAGTTTTAATTAAATATTAACGATAACAGTCTAAAATTGTTAAAAAACTTCAATATAAATATAAATAAGATTTCATGTGACAGTTGGGACAAACAATAACATAACCCAACTAAATTTGATTTCTTAAACAAGGAAAGACTCACTTTCCTTGTTTAATTTGGCCTCTTAAGATGGCACTTCCTGTCTAACAATATTTTTGCCCCCACTACCTTTACATTCCCTCTTTTGTCTTTTTGCTCGATGACAAATATGTAAACAAAGTAATGGCTCGTACTTCAGAGAATAAATTATATATTAATTGTGCTATATAGTTTATTAATTATACTATTGTATGACTAAAAGTCATACAATATGACTTTTGGTAATTGTTGTATACCAGTTGGATAAATTATTAACCTCCATCAGTCTTGAAGAAGATTTAATAAACTGACAGTGCCTGGATACATATTTTTTATTAACCTATAACTTAAAATGATGAGATACCTAAAAACGTTCAAGTTTTACATCAGAGATATAGGAAGATTTGGATTAATTGCAATAATGTTAAGTTTTACGAATTATTTACTTGTCATTATTATCATTCTAGCACGTACATCATTTATTAAACTTAAAAAGTTTCTTTGTTGTCGGGATATAATGTTAGAACTACGCCTGAAAATGCTTCGATGGTCTCTACTCTTCTTTATGGTTTGGAAGCTTGGACACTAAAACAAGTTCATCTGAATAAGTTGGCCGCCTTTGAATTTTGGTGTTCCAGAAGAATCCTACGAATATCATGGATTCAAAGAACGTCAAACATGGAAGTAACTAGAAGGATAGGAAATGAGGCGGAAATAATATTAACAATTAAAAGACGAAAACTTGAGTACTTGGGACATGTGATGAAAGGGAAAAAATACGCATTATTACAACTTATTATTCAGGGCAAAATCCGAGGAAAGCGAAATGTGGGAAGACGAAAACTATCCTGGATTAAGAACTTAAGGGAATGGTTTGAATGCTGTAGTGCAGAACTTTTTAAAGCGGCAGTAAACAGAGTCCGCATAGCCATGATGATTTCGAACCTTCGATAGAAGATGGAACTTAAAGAAGAAGAATTATCATTCTAGCTTAACAACCCTACGTGACTCAAGAATATTCCTCTATTCGTCCCTATCCATCGCCTTTCTATGCCAAGCACGTAGTTTCATATTTCTCATGTCTTCATTGATGTTATCAAGGAACCTTGTTCTGAATTTTTCTCTTCTCTTACCAATGGATCTTTCAAGGAGCGTTTTTCTAGCTAGGTTATTTTGTTCCATCTATATTACATGCCCTATCCACCTTAGATGCCCTATCTCAATATGTTTTATGATATCAGGTTCCTGGTACATTCTATAAAGTTCGAAGTTGTATCGTCTTCATCACACTACATTGTCATTAACTTCTTCTTTAAGTTGCATCTTCTATCGAAGGTTGGAAATCATCATGGCTATGCGGACTCTGTTGACTGCCGCTCTAAAAAGTTCTGCACTACTGCATTCAAACCATTCCCTTAAGTTCTTAAGCCAGGATATTCTTCGTCTTCCCACATTTCGCTTTCCTCGGATTTTTCCCTGCATAATAAGTTGTAATAATGCATATTTTTGCCCTTTCATCACATGTCCCAAGTACTCAAGTTTTCGTCTTTTAATTGTTAATATTATTTCCGCCTCATTTCCTATCCTTCTAATTACTTCCATGTTTGACATTCTTTGAATCCATGATATTCGTAGGATTCTTCTGTAACACCAAAATTCAAAGGCGGCCAGCTTATTCAGATGAACTTGTTTGAGTGTCCAAGCTTCCAGACCATAAAGAAGAGTAGAGAACACGTAACATCGAAGCATTCTCAGGCGTAGTTCTAACCTTATATCCCGACAACAAAGAAACTTTTTAAGTTTAATAAATGATGTACGTGCTATTTTAATACGTGTCTTAATTTCTTTGGTTTGGTCTACATCTGATGTTATCCATGTTCCTAAATATTTATAGTTATTAACCTTCTCAATTTCAGTATCTTCAATAGTCAATTGGATATTTGCATGTGCAGATTTAGTCATGATCATGCATTTAGTTTTCTTTAAATTTATCTTCAGTCCGTACTCATGACAGCGTTCATTAAGGCGTTGCATTAGGTTCTGTAAATCATTGTTGTTATCCGTAATTATTACTGTATCGTCTGCAAAACGTAAGTTATTTAACGTATGTCATTTACTGCTCCATCCTAACATGTTTTCATTATATTTTGTTAGAGTCCAGGTCTCTGAATCATATGTTACGACTAGGCGTATTATTGTTTTGTAGTTTAAATTTTATATTTTTCGATATAATTGTGGGTTTAAGGAGGAGATTGAGTCCAAAATAGCATGTTTGCCGTTCAAATTCTGCGGTTTATCTTTGTGGTAGTATTATGTTCAGTTTTAAGGAACTCTCCCAGATATACAAATTCGTTCACTGCTTCGATTACGTTATTTTCTAGATCAAGTGGTCGTATGATTTGTGGTTGTTTGCCTATTTTCATATACTTGATTTTGTTGGTGTTTATTATTCCACCACTTTTTGTAGTTGATTCTTTTAATGCTACATACGCCTCTCGTACAGCGTTTTCCGCTCTCCCAACAATATTGATATCATAGAGAGTCGCTCTGGTGCAGCCCGTTATTGGTTTAAAGAGGTTCAGGCAGTTCCCCCTAAATTCGTGCTCTGCATTCAACTTTTTTAAGATAAGAAGTTAATAAAATTCCAAAAACAAATATTTTACCATATATTTAAAACACCTTTAAATTATTTCTAAATAAACTCAATTTTATTTTAATTAAAATATATAAATGCATATACACAAATCAATCCCTTGATTTTGTAGCTGTCTACTTACCTACGGATTTCAATCCATGTTACATGAGCCAAACAAAATAACACATAGGCTAATCCGAATTTACTTATCAATAGTTTACATAACGATGGATTTTTATTCCACTGTTTCACTGCTCGGTCTCCGTTGAATTTTGATTTACATTTTTTTGGTAATCCATATAAATCACTCTCGTTTAAATCATGTTTCCAACCTTTTTTTATTAGCTCCAAAACATATCTACAAAACAAACACACTGTTTCAAACAAATTTAGTATTCATGTAACTGTTCTACGGGTTGTATGTTTTAATGGTCCATTCGGCCATAAAAAGATGATTATTCATTTATTGCAAAATTAAATGTTGTGTGGTAAATCAGATAAACTGAATTATGCACTTGATGAAAAACATCAAAATTATTTGTGGCATGGCGTATATTTATTTTTTTTGTCTTTCGATTACAAAATAATAAATATATTTATTGCAAGTTTTATATGAAATGTTTACCTATTTTTGTATGTATTTGCTTAATTAAAAATTCTGCAAACAAATAATTAAACTAAACCATAAAACATATAACAAGCAATTTTTAAAAATTAGGTTTTAATGTTACCATCATGTTCAACAAAACAAGAAGTGAATATCCTGCTAGAAGATTTTAACGCCAAAAGAGGCAAAAGAAGTGTTGGTAATACTGTGGGACACTTTGGAGTCAGGAAACATAAGTGCAATAATTAACACCTTTTTCCAATTACCACCTCAAAGACTCTACACCTGGAAATCTCCAGCTGACTGTCCAAGAAAAAATATTAGAAACCAGATTGACTGCAGCATTATCAACAAACGATTTCAGAATTCCGTAAAATCCGCAAAAATATATCCGGGAACAGATGTTATACCAGGCTACTACATCTACTACATCTTTTACTAGGAAGTTTCAAACTCCATATGAAAAAAAGTTAAAAGATAAAACCACAAGAGACGAAGTCAAAGAGGAGATCAACAACAAAATAAACAACATCTTAATCTCAGATATTAATGAAGAAAACATAAGTGTGGATAATATGTGGAATAAAATCAAAAATATCTGTAATTCAGTGGTAGATAATAAACTTAATATTTAATCTTTATCCATGAACTAAAATCAATGCTACAAGATTTAAATCATAAATCGAATCAAATGGGATTAAAAATGAATCTTGACAAAACAAAGATATTAAGTAACAGCCTCGAAAACATCACGATAGATACATCAATATAGACAGAAAAGGTAAAACAACATATATGTCTAGAACATGCAATTAAAAACGAAAAGGAAAATCAAACCCTAAAAATTAAAAGAAGGACATAACTGTCATGGGCTGCTTTTGGTAAGTTGAGCTTCATTTTAAAAGACAGAAAAATCCGAATACACTTAAAACGAAAGTCCTATAACACTTGTATACTACTAGTTGCAACTTATGGCAATAAGAAAAATGGCAGAACAATTAAGAGCACTCAACGGGCCATGGAGAGGGCTATATTAAATATAAGCCTCAGAGACAAAATTCCTAACGCCCAAATACGTCGAATAACTAAAGTAACCGACATCATGGGAAAAATAGCGACATTGAGATGGCAATGGGTAGCACATGTAGCAAGACAAGACACCAACAGATGATTTTATAAACATTCTGGAGACCTCGAGAAACAAAAAAATGCTCAGGAAGACCCAAAAAGAGATGGATAGACAATACAACAGCTGTAGCTGGAAAGCAGTGGATGAGAATTGCAAAAGATAGGGAAGCGTAGAAGCAATTGGAGAAGGTCTATGTCCAACAATAGATAAATGAAGGCTGAAGAAGAAAAATAAATTTAAACCAGAAAACAATATTAAGAAACAGCCGTGGACGAGACAAGAAATATTAGAGCTAATGGAAGAAAAAAACAGAAATAAGAATGAGGAAAGGTACAAAAAAATCATTAAGAAAAAGATTAAAGAAGCAAAAGAATCATGGCTACAAGATCAATGCATAGAAATAGAATTCCCAGAACAGAAGTATGTCACTTTTAACCTACATAAAAAGATCAAAAACTTAACGGGAGGAAACGGATCGCGAAGTCATAACTTAATACTAGACGAGCACAATAATCTGCTCTACGAAAATAAGAGAATACTTGAGAGATATAGGCCATACATGGAAGAATTATTCAAGGAAAAGCAAGAGATAGAAGTCAGTGTTTCTGGATGTTCAGGACCAGAAATAATGCTCAGTGAAGTAAAATATGCTATAAAAAGACTAAAAACTAACAAAGCACTTGGACCTATTAACATACAAGCTGAAATAATAAAACTATTTGAAAACAACCAACTTAAACTTCTAACGGTCTACTGAACAAAATCTATGAAACTTCAGAATTTCCTATAGATTGGCTAGTTTCTCCCCAAAAAGGCAAATGCCACCAGATGCTCCGATTACAGAATTATAAGCTTAATGAGCCATGCACTCAAAATCCTTATTTCTGTTATTCACTCTCGCATATATATAGAAAACTTGAAGAAAACATTAGCAGTGTTCAGTTTGAGTTTAAAAGCGGACTGGAAACGCGAGAGGCTCTATTTTCCATGCAAATATTGATACAAAGAGCTCGAGAGGAAAATGGCGAAGTCTACGCTTGCTTTAAAGACTTTGAAAAAGCATTTGACAAGGTGCAACATTAAAAATTATTTCAGATACTAAAAGAATCTAGTATTTATGACAAAGATTTACGCCTCATTAAAAATTTATACTTAAAGCAAAGGACAACTGTACAAGTAGACAACGAAACCTCACAAGGATTTACGGTAAAACGGGGAGTACGTAAGGGCTGAATTTTGTCATCGATGTTGTTCAATACTTACTCGGAAATGCTGTTCAGGGGAGCTATTGATGGTTTAAGAGGAGGTATAAAAATTAATGGTGAAATCATAGACAATTTAAGATATGTAAACGATACTGTTTTGATTGCTGATAATGCGGAGGGTCTGCAAACATTAATAGACCTGTAGTGTGTTTTGTAAAAGCCTGTGACAGATACAGCATGCAATTATACTGTAAGAAGACCAAAATTATTTTAGTAAGTAAAACGACGTAATGCAGCACCAATTCACAGCTAATAATGAACCCTTGAAAACAGTCGACAAAATTAAATAACTTATATGCAGCCTAAATAAGGAATGGG